CAAATCTTTTATATATACATGTTTTCTGCAATCTAAAAAGGAAAAGTACTGTTCAAATTCCCGGACTTTAGGATCTGATTACTGGACCCTGTTTCATCCACAACTCCTGGATCCCATAGGGTTATTCTTGATCCTTAATTAAAATACTTTATTTATGCGGGGTTCCCTGCAGATACTGTGTCCAAGGTAGTAGAGTACATAAATGTCCTCAATACACGTTATATCTATGAATTGTACAATTTCATTAAAATGTCCTAATTGGAGATCATTCAAGTTTTAGAACCACTACGAACTAAAATGAAACCTAATACAAAAAAAATCTGCTATGTGCACCCATCATTCTAAGAAAAACTCAATGGTTAACTTGAGGATAATGCTGACTCATGAAACAATAGTTTTAGAAAAGAAAAATGGAAGATTTAATCTATACACTCTATTACATAAGCGAAATTACATATCTTGTAAAGCATAGTAAAGCAATAAAATGTTTTGCTACAATCACATTAAATAACAACTCATCAAATGGACTTACTAGCATCTCCAGAATGAAGTAAAGCTGTACGACTTTCTTGTCCCAACTTTATTATCTCCTTATAACTATAAATGGGAGTTTCTACTTCTTCGCTTTTTAAGCTTGATTTCTCTCCCCATAGCAAAATGATAAACCTTACTCTAGCTTGTGAGTGGAATGTTTCAAACATCCGATTGTACATTTCAGGACCATCCACTACTAATGCAACACTGCAGTTATACACCAAAGAGCCAAAACTTTACACATGAAAAGGGTGCTCAAAGACTTAATAGACAAGTTTTGCTTCCGAAAGTAATAACCAAATGAGCTGAAAGGTACAGGGCTCATACCCTGTATACCACTCAATCTATGAAGTTAATGATTCTTAATGTTTGAGACTAGCAAACTATATACAAATACTCTATTTTACTAGCAATTTCTGGTACTGCAATGATATGGCATTTTCAAACTCTACAATGGGTAACATCTACAAACCTGACGTGTCTTTACACAACCATTTGCTGAGAGAAAGTTTCACCTGGAGGTTCCTTAGTACGGGACTCGAGTGCTATTTATATTTTATAATAAATAGATTTGTGCAAAATTAGTCTTTTCATGCATTATCTTGTTGATAGTTATAAAGTCATAACCAAATACGATTTTTTCTCATTCTGGTATCATGCAAATGCTGACATAAAGATACTAACATGCCGGCGTTTCACCAAAATAAAAAGTTTAAGAAACTCCCATAACAGTCATAACTGGAAAGCCCACTAATCCTTCAGGTTATAAAATTTAAACTAAACATAAAACTCTTACTACTTATGTATGACGACTCTTGAATAAGGACGATATATACAAATGTAAATTTTCTAACCTATCAGAGTGGTTGTATATCTGAAAAAGCTCTTCGACGGATGATCTACTACCTCTAACAACATTGATAGCTCCAGTTGCCATAATACCTGAGAACAAATAAACACATTACTAAGAAGTTACCAAGGTAACAAAATAATTTTCAACTACAAAATGTAAGTTCACTTCCACATGGTCATCTGGAAGAAGATTACAGGTATTGAAACATATTACAGAGAGAAACAGATATTAAATTCTCTTAATCTTCCAGTTAAAGAAAGTAATGATTACAAACTGGAAACAACTCAGTGTTATCCAAATGAAGTACGAATTCTTAACCATTTTATAATACAAAGTCTCACAATGAGAGAGGTTCACAAGGAAAAAAGGAAAAGCATTTTTAGCAAGTTGATAACGGATATAGCTGCTGCCAGTTAGTTACGAATTAGACTTGAGTATTCCATTGGAACTCAAAATTATAACCTATTTCACATCTACATTTATATTTCCATATTTTAGTAAGTTATTTATTTAGGGCTAGAATAAGGTGATGATGGGCCGATTGGCACACAATATGATGTATACCTTGATCTGCAACAAGCCACCTGCACGAATTGTCAGCAAATAGGGCAAGCTTTTCCTCTGGTTCTAATCCAATGACTCTTAATCCTTCACAGAAGTTCAAAATCTCTTGCTCTAGCTGAAATATATCAAAGGAGAAAGTTTCAGATCAAATTTATCACAAAAAAAAAAGGGAGGAAAGTAGACAGGTAGTAAATGACAGGAAACATATAAAATATAAAAAAGATAACCTGAAACAATCAAATAAAGATGGTAACTAAAGAACTACTCTTATAAATTCACTATTTCATAAGAACTCGAGACAGAATAAACAATATTGTACAAAGATAACAAAGAAAAAAAAAAACATTGATCGGGAGTCCACCAGACTCTCATGAATCCACTCCTTCAATGCTAATCATTTTATCTACCATTCAATACCTAGTTTACAAACATTACTTGTTACATGAAACAACTATCTAGAGCATGAATACATGAAAGCAGAGAACTCCAAATAGAATTGACGATTCCATGTTGACTTCTATCTGGATTCTCTTTTGTCATTTTCTACTTTTTCCAAAGGAAAATACATTATTGCAGCATGCCCGATCACTGGGAAATAATTTCTGGAAAAGTTGACAAAAAAATATCTACTAATATATGCACGAAATTTTTTTAATAGATGCATGGCAAGCTCATAAGTGTTGGAATGCATCTATATGAGAAGAAAGATTTAAGTAACCAATGCTGGGCTATGACAATCAAGCAAAAGTAGATAATCCAATAAAGAACAACTTCTACTCATGCCAAAAAAAAAAGGTACAACTGATATCCAAGTTGTTCGCATGTCCAGGTATCAGCTGAGCAAACCAGCTCTTTCTTAACAAAAGAAAATAAAATCTGAAAAATGACCATCTCAACGTCAATTAGAAAAAATGAATTTGTGCACATACTTTTTTGCCATTTTTATCAAGGAGAAAAAGGTTGAATATCACACTACAAACTATGCTAGTGGATAGAGTAGAAAAATGTTGATGAAGAAAAAAAAAAAAAAAAAAATCTGAAACTTGACCTGCTTATAAGTCATATTTGTTGGAGGGTCATGGTACGGGTCCACTAATGCTATGCGATCGCCAAATTTTTCAGCAGATGTTCTCCAAATGTCAGGAACTGTCTTCCACTCGGTAGTAGTATTTAAGACCCCATATTCTGATACCATGCCACCTTCTAAAATGGGAGAAAACTTTCTGATCTGCATTTCTTTTTTCTTAAAACATAGTTGAAATGGAAAGAGGGGTTAGGTAAATTTTTTGGCTTCATGGCTGCTGTAGCATCTTTCTATGTTACATGACTAACAAATAACAACGAGAATGCCATTGATTTGTTTTGCATCAAACCAAATTTGCAGTAAAAAGTTCAATGCCAGATTTAACCAAATTGATGCTTGTTCTGTGAGTGTGGTGACTTAAAAAATGAGAGTGAGCAGTTGAACCTAACCAATGTATCATTCAAGTCATTCAAGTAATGATTCACGTATGTGCTAAAACATGCGCTTATAATTGGGTATATATCATAAGGTTCTGCCTGTGCCTCTTTTATCCATTTTCCACCCTCACCCTTTCTTTATAACAGATCTGTGTTTATAAGGTGATCCAGCATTTCCCATCTTTTAGTATTTTCTTCTATGGTACTTGTCCAAAAATTGTTTACCTTTAATTATTAATTTCTTTCCTCTTAGAGAACTAATCAGGTGTTTCAACAGTTTTAAGACCGCAAAATACCACATAGTTGATAATAATAAGCATTTAACCGAAAAATGGAGAAAATGAAAAGAACTCCCTGGTGTATGAACTTACACACATATTTGAAAACTTCAACTTATGCACACACTTCTCTACTTTACAACAACAACAACATACCCAGTATATTCCCAACTGGTTGGGGTCTGGGGGGTTAGTTGTACGCAGACCTTACCCTTGTAATTATACAAGGAGGCTGTTTCCGTAGCGACCCAAGGTGCATTGCGTCGTTTGATATATTTTTTTTCTAGAAATTTCACTAATAGAAGAAGCACTATAATTTAATTGAGCCATTTGATCTAGTCCTTAGCACTATGCCAGGAGAATTGTCAACAATGACTCTTCTCCATTTGCAATGGACAAAAAAAAATATAAATGAGCGAAGAGAGAAAGCCGAATACACAAATATAGAAATAATACGATGCCAAATAAATATGGTTATTATTACGGGAAATACTACAGTCCCGTTACGGAACCATTCCGTCGTGATTTGAAACCGTTAGATCATCATGTAACCGTCATGAATAGTTAATCTAACGGTTAAAAACCCGACGGAATGATTCCATAACGAGACCGTAGAATCTCCCTATTATTACTTTGATGGCATGAAAGACGCGGGTTTAGGCAAAAGTGCAAGATCTTTAGTTAACTTCAACCATGAAAATTCACATGACAAACTTAATCATTTTAAACACCAAACATAATCAATACAATGTTCTTCATGCTCGGGTCACATGTTTTAATTTGCTCCAATTGTAGCCCCCGAAATTTCTAACTTCGAACTTTACTAGTGATGCTTACTAGCCCGTCAACCGTAACACTAAATTGTGGCCTTTCGCACACTTAGTCCATTTATTGGGTTCAGTGCATTTGAATGATGTCGATTTCAAGATCGACACACTTTTTCAAAACTAAAGAGATACAGTGTAATTCCATGTGGTAGCATAACTATAGCTTATGGCATTGCCCATAATAAATGTTCCGTCTGTGTGTGGGAAAAATAAAGAAGACATATAAACTACACTGTCTTGCTTCTTTCCTTTTTCGGAACATATCGATACAACAGAAACATTTACACATTCCACAAACAATCAATAATAATCTATTAATATATAATAAGGATTAACATAATTCATTTTTAGAAATAATTTCCCGCCAATTATTGTCTAAAAATAGTAAATTAACAAAATCTCTATTTATTAACATACCTTTTTTATCCATTTTTTTTAGGATTACATAACAAATATGGAATCAAAATCAAAATAAATCTAAGAAATACACTTACCATACTTAATACATTTAATTTAATAGATACACTTACCATATGTATTTTTAAAAATTTTTAAATTACAATATAAAATATTTAATTAATAATTTTCAATTAAAGTTTATTTTTAAGAATCAATCATATTTCTAATAATTGTTAGAAATAATTTATATATATATTAGTATTTACGTGAAAGTAACATATATGTTACTTATATGTTAACATATATGTTAATCCTATATAATAAGAATCAACATAAATCAAATTTAGAAATAATTTCCCGCCACTTTCATTAATTATCTCCTAAAAATAGTAAATCGGATTTTTTTTCTTTTTCTTTTTTTATTAATAACATCAAATACTTTTATATTGGTAAACAATAAGGAATCAAAATCCAAATAAATCTTCTATTTTTCCAAACATTTGAAAATCCAAATGTAAATCAGAATAAATCATGATTTTAGAAATCGTGATTTCCAAATAATTTGAAAATCAGAATAAATCTTCAAGGAAAATCATGATTTGTATATATCATGATTTTAGAAATTTGTTCAAAATTTTCTTTGCATGAATCTGAATCATAATTCATTCAGCCTATTATTGTATTATTAAATTATTTGAAACCGCATGCTAAGATTTGTATATATCAGATTTCTAAAATCATGATTTGTATATATCATCTTTTCACCAATTAGACTTCTTTCTTCATTATCGATATGAAAAGGAAAACGAATTTTATATACCTTATCGGTTTTGATAATAGAATGTTATAATCATTATCATTATTTATTTTAAGAGATAGTGTTTGTCATTTATTTGATTTCAAAAGATGGAAAAAATTTCAAAGTTTAGGTCTCTTTTTATTTATGCATTTACACAAATTAATTTAAAAACTCTAATAACGATTGGCAACAAAATTTGTTATATATTGATTCAAACCAACTAATTAATAAAAGAGTCCATCAATTACAAAATTAAAAAATAACACACGATCACTATATTTCAAAGATTAAGTTATTTAGATAAATATTCATTTATATTGTCATGACGATAAACAAGAGTGAGTGTCAATCTTAGAAATTTGATGTTTTCAACTGCTATATTTCTAATGGTTTTTTTACCGTAGGAATTTCCATTTGAATATGCAAATTCCGTTGGATTTTTATTTCTACCCCGTTGGAAAATCAACCGTTGGAATCGTCAAAATCCAACAGAAATTTCAATGGAAAAATCATTCCAACTGAATATTTGGATTAGAAACAGACTGGTGACAGATGGAGTTCCGTCAAGGTCAACATTTATTGTACGTTGGCCTGTTAAGTAATAGATCAAGAAGAGTCAAGGTCAACATTTATTGTACGTTGACATGTTGTTAAAGAAATTGATTTTTTTAGTCACGGATATGTTGTTTGTTTCGCGTGTAAATAATAGAAAAGTGTTGAAAATTTTAGTTTGTGGGGACGACGAGTTGCTCAGTTATTAAACAAATAATGTTGTGTACAAGAAAGTTTAAATAATATATTTTTTTGCATGAGAAATATATTATAGTTTGATAATTTTCCTACGAATTATCACTCTTTTATCTATTAATGCATTTTAATTTTTAATATTCTCTAAAGTAAATACAGTTACATACTAGTAAGAAGTAACAGTAAATCAGCTACTACTTTCTCATCATAAACTGTCGCAATTCAATGAATTCACTTGAAAATCGAAACAGATCGACATGTCCAGAAACAAACCAAAAAACATAAAACGATGAGGAAATTGAAAACGAGAAAACAAGATTATTGAAAGAAACTGCCATCCAATTGAACTATATATACTACCTGTGACTGGCTGTGAACTCGGAAATTCCGACGTCGGCATTTCCGGCTGAACGATGGAGAAGCCAACAATTTACGGCGATTTAACAGAAGATGTCGCAAAGATAGATTTAAATCGCCATAGCTTGATATAGAAGAAGAGGAGGCATATGGAATCATCATGAACAGACAGTACAGCTTTTTTACCCAAAAAAAGAGCAGACGGCGAGATTTTCGAGAGTGTGGTTATCTCTTTGAGGACGGCGGTGACTAATCTGTGTAGTAGCGATCGGTAAGTCAAAGTTGAGTGCACAGGGGAATGATTAAGTAAAAAAAAAATATAACAATTTTTTTCATTAATATACATAAAATCTATTGAGCCATAGCGACTTTTTATGGAGTCGTCGATAAACACATGTCAATACATTATTTTTAAATAACTATGAATAACTTCATAAGTCGAGTCATTTAATGATTCCATAGGAAACTGATAAATTATATTTGGTATGTAGAAAAAATAAGATATGACATTATCATCCTATATTAATATTTATCATTATTTTAACAAAAAAATATTTATATTAATATTATTCTATTATTTATGATAATACTAAATTAATTTTATTTTAAAAAAATTACTATATTTTAATAAATATAACTTAAGCATATTCTTGTATTGTTACATTCATCTTATATAATAAATAAGTGGATATGTATTTACATACATATTAATTAATACAAATATATCATTATATAAATCCCTATAATCATATGTGGTCGGATATATATTTTTTTATAATATATTTAGTTTATGAATAAATATATAATAATATATGGTTGTATACAAAAATAAGATCTTTCTAAATAATGTATACATGCATTTTTGTGAGTTTTATTTAATATAAGTTTTTGATATATGGAAATAAAATATGAATTAACAAAAAATTAGTTATTTATTTGAAATTTAGTTTTTAATATAATCAATCATGATATATAGTATATATAATGTATTTATTGTTTGTTGTTTGTTGTTATTTGTTACTTTTATTTTTTGAAAAACTGAATCCTAAAGACATGGGAATAAGAAAATCATGCGTTAACTACGGAATGATCATATAATTGGTTTGTCAATTCCCACTGGAATGATTACTCCGATGATTATTTTTTTCTAATAAATATGCCAATCATATGATTAAGAATGAGTAAATGAATGATCATTTCATTCTCATGTCATTCCAACATACCAATCATGTCATATAAGGGGATGTTTTTTTTTTTTTTTTATCGACTGTAGATCTGAATAAACCGGAAACAACAAAAGTTTGGTATAAGCCAGAACTGCCAAACACACCGAGAGAATCACTTAGGAAGTGGCGCACCTAGGTCG